TAATCATTCTTGTCCTCATGCATGCATACAAAGGGGAGGCCCTGCTTACCTAATGCCCTCCCAGGTATGGGCCTGAGCCTAGAGATTTGATCAGCATCTTTAGGAGCCCTTTTTGGTAGGACTTACTGGAGGGATCATTTGGTAAGCCACTTGCTAACCTCAGACCTTTATTTGAAGGTCAAGAAAGGCTATCCTGTGGGCAGATCCAGGGCCCTGGGAACCATATCTGTTGTCCTGGTAACCAGGGATCTTGTTTGTTGTCTCCCTTAGTTTCAAGGCTCCCTTTCTTGTCAGATGGTGGGGGCGAGAGTGGTTTCAGGACCTTGACTTAGTTATTCTCTGAGGAATAAAACAAAAGAAATTCAAAGTTCAGCAAGCCAGCCCTTTTGCCATCTCAGGAAAATGTCCAACATGGACACTTCTTTTCCCTCAAGGAAGAGAAATTCTGAGCAGATTCACTGGAGCACAGATGCTTCCCAAAGATTTCAATTGGCACAGAGCATTTTTGTTGGTTTGTTTGTTTTTTAACCTGTGTAGTGACATTTTCTAGAGTGCTAAGATCTTTGGGCTATGATGAGCAACCTTCTGCATTGGCCTGAGATTCAGGGGCTTCTTGGAATATTGACTTTGCAGTGCTACATCCCAGACACACCTTGTGCAAAGCAGGATGGCTACAAAGTGACTAAAGGAGAGAATGGCTTAGGAAAAAGAAATATAAAATGGAAACCTCTAGAATGCCGAGGTTTTATTCTGTTCCTGGGTCATCTATGGACCCAAGTAAGACAGTTAATGTTTCTTGGCAGCTTTTAAGCACCTCTTGTAGGAAAGGGGGCATAGCCTTTTGTCAGAGTTCCCCACTTTCCTTGCATGTGCACCCCAAGACATGCTATATCTTTCATTGGAAAGATGTGTGTGAAGATCTTGATTTTCCCATCAAGGACTGACTGAACTAAAGGACAAAAATTAAATCCTGCAGTTGGAAGCCAGTGCACACACCTGTAATCCTAGCTACTCAGGAGGCTGAAATCTGAGGATAGTGGTTTGAAGCCAGCCTGAACCAGAAAGTCTATGTGACTCTTATCTCCAATTTACTCCCCCCACACCCTTCAAACAAGCCCAGAGTGGAGCTTTGGGTCAAGTGGTAGAACATGGTCTAAAGCACTCAAGGACAGCAGCCAGGCCCTGAGTTCAAGCCCCAGTACTAATATGAAGCAATTAAAATTAAAATTAAATCTGCAGTCAGCTGGAAGGAGCTTATTCATACATTCTGTGTCTTCTTTTTGGGTCTCTGCTCATAATTCTAAATTCTGCTATGGCTAGGTTAATCTGAAGACTAGATTTAGTCAAACTAGACAATGGATTGTGATCACTTACATATAGATGGAAAGGGCACCCCTGTTTTCTTCGAGATTGCCTTACAGTTTTTCCCTTCCTTTTAGGATCTGCACACACTATCCTCAGCAGCTACTGGTCCCAGCAGCTCGGGAAGAAACAAATGCGTGGTAGGACAGTTCTTTTCCAATTGCTTTTTTTTTTTTGCCTGTCTCCTATGCCCTTGAAAATGTAGTAAAATGTTATGTGTCACTCGTGAGAGACAGTCTTCCATAATTTAAGAGTACTCTACTTCCAAACCCCTTCACCCCTGCTTCCCTCAACATGCAGACACTTTGGATACACCACGTGCGCAATAAATGTTCAGTGACTAAAACTAACTTGCTGTGGCTCAAGTGGTAGAGTGCTAGCCTTTAACAAAACAAAAGAAAAAACAAACAAAAACCCTCAGGGACAGTGGGCAGGCCCTGAGTTCAAGCCCCAGGATGGGGGAAAGCAACAGCAACAACAAATTTCCAAAGCATCAGCTGCCTTAGGAGGACTCCAAGCTGGTAATGAGAAGTCTCTCGCTATCCCCTCACTATACCCTTAACTCCTTTTGTGCTTTGTTCAGCCTTTCAGTGTTCCAGACGAGGAGGAGAACTGAACATTGCTCTGCGACCGGATGGACGAGTGGATGTGAAGGGTGCAGCTACTGTGGTTTTAGAGGGCACGCTGATGGTCTAGACAGGCTGTACTAGCATGCCGCTGTCTCTGAGGACAAAGTGTTTTCTGCATGAAAAGAAAAAGGCTGCCTTTAGCAAGCCTGCCTAGTAGTCCACTCAATCCTCACGTGAAAAATAGAAAAAGAAAGACATAGCCATGGAAATGTAATAATGCTTCCAGAATAATTAACTAAGGGAATTTTAAAAACTCTAGTTGAGATGGTAGCAACTCGAATAATGTTATCTCTTTTGATGATAATACCAAAGAATGCAGGGGGAGGGAATATATTGGGAAGAGTGAGAAGCCATGTAAATTTAGGTGTGAATGCCTTATAGAATATCTGTGGGCCTTTGAAAGATTGTGAGGATATAGAGAAAGCTATTTTATGATTTAATGCCAAGAAAAAAAAGTACAAGCCAGGTGACCAAGCCTGTAATCCTAGCTACTTAAGAGTCTGAGATAGGAGGATGGAAGTTTGAGTGAGACTCTTATCTTTAATTAACCATCAAAAGCCAGAAGTCAAGCTATGACTCAAGCTATGGCTGGTACAGTACCAGCCTTAAGTAAAAAAGCTAAAGGATAGTACCCAGGCCCTGAGTTCAAGCTCCAGTACCAGTCCAAAAAACCAAACATCAAAAAAACCCCTAAAGCTAGGTATGTATGTAAGCTACTTATTATGATAGTAAAATTAAGTTCTGTGTCTTGATTTGTTTTGATATATGGCTTTAGAGTGATAAGTTTAAAAGGATTCTTCCTTTCTCTTAATAAAATGAGTTTAACAGAACTTTAAATCAGTGACATCTGTCATATTGAGTACTACAGCTGGCTCTGGGGTTAAGAGGATTCATTGTGGTCATTGATGCCAATTCTTAGCCATCTCACAAAAAAAATCTAGGCTAATGTTAGCAATTTTGCTACTACCATGTTTCTTATTTTTATTTACTTTTGCTAATTAAGAGTGAATTTAACCAGATCTGTCAGACTAAGGCAAGATGAGCAAGAGTTCTGGGTCAGCCTGGGCTCAACTGAATGAGTTAACAGTTAACTGAATGACTAACAACAATTCATAACACTGTTATGAGCCATTATACCAGCGGTGAGAATCACTGACAGGTTTTCAACAACTGTGAGGCTTTCTCCAACCTTGACTGAACTATAGAAAGAATTTTAAAGGCTAGAAGCATAGCTTCCAATGGTAAGAGTACCCGCCTAGCAAGCAAAATATTCTGTGACTCATGCCTGTATTCTAGATACAACCTCTCAGGAGGGTGAGATCTGAGGCACGCAGTTCCAAGGCAGCATGGGCAGGAAACTCCATGAGACTCTTTTATTTTATTGTATTGTATTGTATTGTATTGTATTGTATTTTTTATAGTCAGTTGTGGGGTCTGAACTCTGGGCCTGGGTGCTGTTTCTCAGCTCTTCAGCTCAAGGCTAGCACTCTACCACTTTAGCCACAGCGCCACTTCTGGCTTTTTCTGCTTCTGTAGTGCTGAGGAATGGAACCCAGGGCCTCATGCATGCAAGTCAAGCACTCTACCACTGAGTCACCTTCCCAGCCTGTCCATGAGACTCTTTTTTTTTGGTCCAGTTTTGGGGCCTGAACTCTGGGCCTGGGCGCTGTCCCTCAGCTCTTCAGCTCAAGGCTAGCACTCTACCACTTGAGCCACAGCACCAATTCTGGCTTTTTTTGTTTTTGCTTATGTGGTGCTGAGGAATTGAACCCAGGGCCTCATGCGTGCAAGGCAAGTGCTCTACCACTGAGCCACCTTCCCAGCCCTCCATGAGACTCTTATCTCCAATAAACTACTGAGAAAAAGCTGGAAGTGGCATTGTGGCTCAAGTGGTAGAATGCTAGCCTTGAGCACAAAGAGGCTCAGGACAGCACCCAGGCCCTGAGTTCAAGTGTCAGAACTAGCAAAAGAAAGGAAGGGAAGAGAAGGGAGGGGAGGGGAGGGGAAGGGAGGGGTGGGGAGGAAAGGGAGAAAGAAAAGAAAAAAAGGACCTGAGAATCATAGCAACTTTGAACATCCCTAGTAGACAAATGGTAGAAGTAGATTCTCTCAATGAGGCCCTTATCCTCAGAGTAGGGCCACCTGGGATCTTGCTGGAAGTGCAAATTCACAGGCTCTGTCCCACATCAAGGGAGTCTTTCACATACCTCTGAACTTCTATAAGCAGTGGGTGTATGAGATGGACTCAGAGAAGACAGAGTTAAAAATCACACTGGCTTGGAAATGGGGCCCAGTGCTTTGAGTCTGAAAAACCTCCAGGTGATTCTGGTCTATGTTTAAACCTGAGAACCACAAGATGTTCCAGCTTCCAGATTTTGCCACTGCTTTCTTCACTCCCAAGTGACAATTGTCTGTATAGCAGATGACTTCTAAATGTGCCTGGCTTCAAATTCCCTTCGGCTGTGATATAGATTTGCTGTTTAGTGCACTTTTGGAGGAGCTTTAAAAAACATTAAAAAAATCATCTTCTAGTTTTTTTCAGCATAGAAAAATGATCTGTGCTCATGTGAGGACTGTTCAGTAATGTGTTAGTAATAAATAGATTAGTTAATCAGCCATGATTTATTAATGATGAATTTATTATACCTGATTGTGCAGTTCTGCTAGCAAATAGAGCTTTAAAGAAGTTATTTTATTAATCATCACAATATTAATTGTAGACACTGAAGGATCACTAATTAAACACAAAGCCATATGCAGAACAAGTGGGCTGCTGAGATCGGCAAGAATAAGAAATATTCATTTTTGAGAGGAGCTAGAACAAACTATGCAGTATTAGGGGGTTCACTTGGCAATATTAATTAATCACTGCACATTAGTATTAGAATAGTTTCTAGTCGGGATCCCTGTATCAACACACACTGGAGTGTGTAGCACTCCAGTGAACCTTTAAGGGAGAAGTGTTGTACGGTCATGTTTTGTGTTTTACGCACATGCAAACTGCTGTAACACAGTCCATTCTACAGGGTGGATGTAGAAAAGAAAGAGGTTAAATTCTCACATCAATGCTGGGTGCTAGTGGCTCATACCTGTATTCCTAGTTACTCAGGAGAGTGAGATCTGAGGCTTATAGTTCAAAGCCAGCCCAGGCAGGAAAGTGTATAAGATTCTTTTTTTTTTTTTTGGTCGGTTGTGGGGCTTGAACTCTGGGCTTGGTCGCTGACCCTCAGTTCTTCAGCTCCAGGCCAGTGCTCTACCGCTTGAGCCACAGCGCCACTTCCAGTTTTCTGGTAGTTTATTGGAGATAAGAGTCTCTGGGACTTTCCTGCCCAGGCTGGCTTTGAACCGTGATCCTCAGATCTGAACCTCCTGAGTAGCTAGGATTACAGGCATGAGCCACCGGCGCCCAGCGTGTATGAGATTCTTATCACCAATTAATCACCAAAAAGCTGAAAGTGGAACCATCGCTCAAGTGATAGAATACTAACCTTGAACACAAAAGCTTAGGGACAGAGTACAAGTTCAAGTTCCCGGAACATCAATAAATAAATAAATCACCCCAATTCTGGGTGTGTGCATGGGGTGCTGGAAGGCAGAAGTGCAGCTGCCTAGTAAACCTAATACCCTAAATTCAAACCTCAGTAAATCCTTTTTACCTCCTCTCCCCCACAAAAAGAGGATAACAGCCTTGTGTCGTTGGGGCAGAGAAATAAGTAAGACTATCTACCTGAAGAAGAATCAAGTAAAATCAAGGAGCGTTAAATAACAGGAGGTGTTCCACACTCAATTCAAGTTAAAGGCAATTCATGACTTTGCAGTTTGTAAGCATTTGCCGTTTGGGTTATTTGGTGTCCAAACATTATTGCATGGCACCTTGAGTTGGTAAACTCCCGTGAGTGCCTGGGCAATGGCCAAGGGCTGCCTCTCCTGGCAAATTAGGGGCTGGTGACTGCTACTAAATCTAGATTGATCAGAAATATACTGGGTGGGCTGGGAAGGTGGCTCAGTGGAAGAGTGCTTGCCTAGTATGCATGAAGCCCTTGGGTTCGATTTCTCAGTACCACATACACGGAAAAAGCTGGAAGTGGCGCTGTGGCTCAAGTGGTAGAGTGCTAGCCTTGAACAAAAGAAGCTTAGAAGTAGTACCCAGGCCCAAAGTTCAAGCATCAGGACTGGCAAAAAATAATAATAATAAATATACTGGCCTTTGGGCTAGAGCAAGGGCAGGCATGGTGGTACAAGCCTGTGATCTCAGCTAAGAGGAAGGTTAAAGATAGGACCATTTCATTGTCTTTCACTAATGGTAGCTACCTAGTCACACTGTTCTGTATCTTGACTTGTGTAGTTTGCTGAATATCCTAGTGGTTATTGTTATTCCCATTTTATCTGTGAGAAAAGTAATGTTTGGGCCATGTCACAAAACAATCTGTTTAAGGTCAGTCAGCCAGTTAGAGTGGTTGGGTCTAGGTTCACCATATGAAGGACGTGGACCAAACTCAATCTGTTGGGTATTGCTGCATCGACTAGTCACTGGAGATGTGATTCCTTGCTGGTAACTCTCTTGGATAGTGCCTTGGAGTCAGTTTCCTGAGGCTGCCAAGGGTTCCTAGAGAGTCCAGAGTGGCTGCTGTCACTGTGAGACTGCTGTATGACTTTGTGTGATCCATTGCCAGCTGAGGTTATTGAAATACCTTTGGGCCAGGTTATTTTAAGTTACAACAGACAATTTGTGAATTTCGTCATTCAACGGAAGGCTCTCTCCAGCTAAAACCATGATTTCAGCATAAAAGAAAAGAAGAGGTAAGTTAAAAGTGAACACCTGTTCTTCTAAAATTGCTTTACTGCAGGTACCAACCCTAGAGAGTTAGCAGATGGTTTTGTGTTTCTAAGTCTGACCTCAGCAGCCCTTCATCAATCTTCAACTGATTGATTCTCAGGAAAGAGGAGACTCTGGCTTCCCAGGGCACATAGGATCTTTGATTTACTTCCTACCTGAAGACCAATTAATTAGCCTATCCTAATTCTCTCAAGTTTTTCTAACAAAGCTATGAGACACAGGGGCACAGCCCGGCTGGGGAAGTTTTTATCCTACCTCATTAATTACTGTCACTCTAAACATGGATGCTACTAAAAGATAAAGAAAAAAAAGCATCATTTCACAACCTGCAAAACAGGAGATCTCCAAAGCTTGAATCTCTCCTGCTCCGACTCCTGAAGCCTAAGGGCTCCCCTATTAAAAATTTCCACCTATCACTGGTCTCAGTGGCTCATGCCTATAATCCTAGCTACTCAGGATCTGGGTAGCTTTGATCTGAGGATCAAAGCCCAAATCTGGACAGTAAAAAGTCCATGAGACTCTTATCTCCAGTTATCTACCAAAAAGTCAGAAGTGGAGCTGTAGTTGAAGTAGTAGAGTGCCAGCCTTGAGTGAAAAGGCTAAGTGACAGCACTTAGGCCCCAAGTTCAAGCTCCAGTAGCAGCACAAACAAAACAAAACCTTCCACCTATCCACCTAG